CCCCAAAACCCCAAAACCCCAAAACCCCAAAACCCCGAGGTAGTATTCTAGAATTGAGGTTTAACAGGACTAGGTTTATTTTAGAAACCCCTCTAATTATCAATTCTTCCATTTTTCACAAATTTACCAACAGAGGGCCTTTGGCTGCAGTATTTAGACCAGAAAGGGCCAAATCATTAGATTTCGGGCCAATTCTGGTTTTTGGGTGAAAACCGCATATTTGGTTTTTGGAACCTAAACCTATACAATCGATGAAATGCCTTTTGTTATTACTAGTATTTAAAGTTCTAAGTATATCAAGGACTGCCTCAATTGCATTAAATATTTAACTATTAGGACATATAGACTCTCTTGGCCACTTGAGTGCAGGGAAGACCACAGCCTTATCTCCTTGTACAAGTATTAGACATTGAGGGTGTCCTTTCAATTTTTGAGACTTGTCTGCAAGAACATAACTTAATAATATTTAATGAGCAGAACAGGCTACCTCTGACTTGATGCTCTGCTATAATGATTCTGTTGAGCTTAGCTGGTTATTATCCACTTCTAAATACATCTTCCAGACTCAGGCTGCTAGTTTGTAGATGAACCTGAACAAAGCTAGGATTTTAGAAATCTAGCTTCTGCCATCCACAGTGCAAGACCTAGGAATTCAAATATCTCAGAATATTAATCTAGAGCTTGTGACTACTTTTAGAGCATCTGAGAGGCCAAGTCAAAGGTCTTCTGGTTCAGACAGGCTTGTCTTCTAAGGATCTCAGAACATTCTTACTGACATCAAAATTAGATTTGTGAGAAAAACCAAAAGCGATCCAAATTGTCAGTCCGGATGAAGATTAGGATTCATCTGAGATTTCAGTATCAAAACAAACATATACCAAATAAAGAGTTGTCAGATTTGGTCAAGGAGTCTATTGAATCTTGATAATCATAAAAACTCCACATTTGGATGACTAGGTTTATGTGATAAAATTGTGGTTGACAAAAATTCATACCCTTACATTTAGGAGCGATATCCCAGGTTGGAAATAGAGGTCATAAAGCTTATAGAAAACTCTAGACATTTGCTTACAATCCCTGATGCTTTAGGGGCTTCAAAATACTAGGCATAAAGCTGAACGAGTTATGTTGATTTATTAAAATCGCCAAGAAATTTTAGTTTACTATTTCTTGTTCTCATTGTACAACCAAGAGATGAAGATTCTTACTGAAATATTGAATAAATTCATTAATTTAGTTCATCCAATGAGGTTCAGATGAAATTTTTCAAAGAGTTTAATTACATAATTATTCATAGCACAGTTTCTTTAAAATTCAGGCAAATAATTATAGTAAAAATACCGCAGACTTGGTTTATAATCGATTTTTTTATATTTATAATAATTCACGGCTAGAGCAAACAACAGAAAGATTCAATAGTTGAGGAACACTAATGGATAGAGCTGATATTTGATCAGTTTCAAAGACATCTAAAGATGAATTCGTACATAATATATGTTTTTACACACAATTTTGTTCTGGATGGTAAGCTAAGAGTTTACAAAGATCTCCTTCCCAATAAATTATAACATTCGCTTATTTAATATTAGATGAAGCAAAATATGAAATAACTTACTGTATCAAATCGGACCTAATATTTTTAAACCTAAGTCTGACTTCTCTTGTTAGGTTTATTCAAAAAACTAAGTTCCTGAACAAGAAACCGGTATTATTTCATAACTTCTTTAAAATCCTTTGCTACTAAAATTCCCAGAATTCTGTGTCATTGGACTAGGGAATGAAAGTATCCTATTTTGCCATGCTTTAATGCTGAGAAATATCATCATTGAAATAAATCTAGCAAGACAAAATAAATTTTAACTTTTCTTAGACTCTACTTGTAACCTAACTTTTATTATCGAACTGGGGGAGAATGCTTGCATCTAATACCCCAGTAAAATGAAAATTATTCATTGATTTAATTTTCTTTGAAGTTTTCATACGATGAGTATTTGGATATCCAAAAATAAGTTAGGAACACGATCCAAACAATTTTGTTAGTTATTAATTATTACTAAGCTTTGCAAAGGGCCTTGATCCTCTGGACTCCCTTCTGGTAGCCCTCTGGGTTCAAAGACAGTGTTGGGTCTTCCTTCATCAGTCTGTCGAGTATTCCGCTTTCGCAGAAATGTTTGAAAATGCTGACCATTCCTTGACACTCGAACAGCTTCTCGAGTTTGCGGACCGAGTAATTGTAGAGCACCTCATAGATGGAGTTGTAAGCCTTCTTGACGAATGGAAACCCGAAGCATTTCTTCATCGGGATCTTGAGCAGGATGCATGCGAACGTGACCTTGATTTCGTAGAACTTGGCAATGTTGCCGGTGAACGTCATCTTCTTGATATTGGTTTTCTTGTCGAAGAAGTCTTGAAGACTGTGCACGGATTCTGCTTCCGAAATCCCAAGCTTGGGCCCAAAGTGACTAAGGCAGTACTAAACAGTCAGAGACAACCACTTACTTGGTCGATGTTGCGGAGACACTTCGGACCGTCCGACTTGTGCAAGAAATAAATCATGGTGTTACCATTGGCGAAGGCGTCTCAGTAGTAACGCTTGATGCTCCTGATAATTGTCTTGTTGACGACGTCTTGTCTGGCTGAATGGGTTCCAGGCTTGAGTCCCTTGCTGTTGGCTTCACTTGAGATGGTCGGAGTAGGTTCTGTCACAGGCTGTTTGGGTTTGGCTGATGGGTTAGAGCCGTGTGCAAACAAAGTAACTTCATCATCAGACTTGAACAGGTATGAGTGGTCATCTTCTTTAAAAGTTTCAGGAGCTTGGACAACTTGCTCATCTGGAGTTATTTGAGTGAGATCAGAGAAGTTAATAGAAGTTTTGAGCATGGAGAAAGTGTTTTTGTAGGGATCTTCAAGTCCTATCTCATTTTTATTAAACTCTCCATCCTTCATATCTGCATTTCAACTGAGCCAATGCGGATTTGGCACCTCATTGTCCCAAAAGTTGGGAGACAGCTGCTGGGCCTCTTGGTGGCCAAAGTGGAATAATGGATTAGTATAGTTGTTCATAATATTTATTACCTAATCCTAATTACAATTCTTATATACCTTCTTGGGGTTTTGGGGTTTTGGGGTTTTGGGGTTTTGGGGTTTTGGGGTTTTGGGG